CAGACAGCAACCAGACTACTTTTGCGGTGCTCCTGTGCATTCCTATGGGAAAACGCGCGTGCATTGTGCCTCTTCACCGAAAAATAACACGGAACACTTCGGCTATTTGGGTCGTACCAAATAGTATGTACCTTGATTAACACTGTAAAGGCCCGTTCACACATGCAGCGGAGCGCTACAAGCATAGCGCTAACCTCGCGCTAAGCACGTGCTGACGGCAGCGTTCACCAGCTTTGTATCGCACCGTCAAAACTGTTGCTCATGGCATACGATAAGTAGCTGATGGCACGTGAGGAGCGCTACATCAGCGCTTCGCTGCATGTGAGAACCGGCCTTAAATGTGTAATTCCTTTAGTTAGCGCATTTTTCTTCATCAGTGAACGATGTTTAACTTTGCTACATTCCAGTCCCAAACGTGTGTTCCGCAGCAGATGTGTAAAAACAAGCGACGATTCGAAGCAAAATTACAATCGAAAAGAATGTAGAGTGTGTTCAAGGCTCGCCAGTATTCCGGTGACGTTTATATATTGATAATATGCCAGTCCTGTCACTATATGGAAATGACCCTGTCGTGCATGAGCGGATAAAGACATTCAAATAAAGTATAAAGTACGTGGGCTATGAAAGGTGTCTCTTCGTGTTGTTTTCTCTGCCGGGCAGCTTTTATCAAGCACTTGTTCTCAAAGATTTCGAGCGTGCGGGTAATATTTTGAATGTAAAACAAGCAGCTTCGCTCAGAGCAGAAAGAATAAAGCGGTACTTATTTAAAATCGGAATAGATTACGTGGCCTTCAATTTATTTTGATCGTATATGCACATGTAGTTACTGATCCAGCGCTGCTGCGTAGTTCTTGCCGTCTTTCTTAATTTCCAGATGTCCTTCGTTCTTTTGGCACGTATACCCCCCAGGCTGAAAATCGCCGACGTCGTGTTCGCGCTAAGAGTGTCCGACAGTGCACATAAATACATGTACGAAGCCGTTTTAGCGCAGTTTTTAATGCGATGAATTTGAAAGAAAAACGCCGTAACTGACCAATTATTTCGTTGGCCTGGCTGAGAAATGTTCCAAGCTACCTAGCACGTGCGGATTATATGGAATATTTGCTCTTATGATCGAGCGCAGGGAGAAAATGCACTCACTTTTTCCCATAGAAATGCATTACCGGAAGTCAATTTTCGACTGGTTGCTGTCTGCTTCAATTTGCGTCAGCACACTAGCGCCACTTGAACCTCTAGCGTACATTATAATAACTCTATGCCCGCCTTGGATTGTTTGAAGCAGTTCGCAGGAGCACATCTAGATGGCGCTGCAAGTCTTTACGTACGCGTTTGCCTCCCGCTATACTAAAAGTGCGCGTACAACGCGTTCCATAACGTTACGTCGACAGCTTGAGTCCGTTGTACGCAGTGCTGACGCAAGGGTCTTTACGCTATTCGAAAACTCTCTACTAAAACTCTCTATTATAATGTACGCTAAAGTTTCAACCGGCGCTCTAGTGTCTGTGCGACTTCCGGGACGCAAATTGAAGCAGACAGCAACAAGTCTAGTCTTACGATGCTCCTGTGCATTCCTACGGAAAAACGCGCTTGCATTTTGTCTCTTCGCCGGAAAATAACACAGAGCACTTTTGTTATTTGGACGGTACCGAATATTATGTATTTTTTTAACACTGTAAAAGTATAATTGCTTTAGTTAGCGCGTTTTTTTTTTTTCTTCATCAACGAACGTTGTTAACTTTGCTATATTTCTGGTCCGAACCTTTGTTCCACAGCAGGTGTGTAAAAACAAGCGAGGATTTTAAGCAAAATAACGATCGAAAGGAACATAGAGTGTGTTCAAGGCTCGCCAGCATTTTGGTGACGCTTATATATTGCTAATATGCCAGTCCTGTCAAAATATGAAAATGACCCCGTCTTGCATTTTACGAGCGGTTAAAAACATTCAAAACGTATATAATGAAGTACGTGGGCTATGAAAGGTGTTTTTTTTTTATTATTCTTTTCTTTGCCGGACACCTTTTATTCGGGACATGTTCTCAAAGATTTCGAACGTGCAGGTGATGTTTTGAACGTAGAACAAGTATCTTCACACAGAGCAGAAAGAATAAAGCAGTACTTAATTATTGAAAATCGGACTATATTACGTGGCCTTAAATTAATTTTGATCGTAGATGCACAGGGAGTTACTGATCGATCTTTGATTGCTTTCTTAACAGGAAAATAGGCCGCGCATCGTTACAATTTATGGATTTCTTGGATGTTTAGCTAAACGTCAGCGCTTGCCCTTTTTATCTCTCTTTTGTTTGCATGACTGGAATGTTCCAGATGACTCAAAAATCATGTATTTTTTTTTTTTTTTTTAGCTAGAAAACTTTTAGATGTTCGGCGCTTACAAAAGGAGCTTCGCATGGATGCTGTAGACAGTCGTTTTTCCGTCGCCATCAAAGTACGTAGTCTTTGCTACTTTGTTTCTCGGCACAAGTTCGTCGCATTATAGGTTCATTTTAAGTTTTATGAATCAAGTTTGTGTTTTTATTCGTGACAATGTTCAGGCGATCTTAGAAACCTCTTCAAGGCACCTTTAAGAACTTAAATACAACTCTAAAATTTGTAATTAAGCAATAATGTTCTCCGTCCTTGACGGATTTTTTGTGGATACAGAGACGAAAACGTGTCGATCTTGGCAGTCCCTTGCTCAGTCTTCTCTAACGTAACGAGAAAGGTTGAGTCAGGACAGAAACCTTTCCAGTTTTGTTTCTAAGAAGATTTTCTCAACATCTATAGGTCTGTGGACAGTATTGTTTGATGACAACGTTCGCGAGTGAACAGCTTTTTCCTTTTATCCAGGCGTAGTTTGTCGTATACTTATATTGTGTAGAAGTTCTTATATGTTTATTGGACCAATCGCATAAAAAAATGTTTCCCATTTTAGTACCGTAGAGTCCCGAATAAACGCCCATCTACAATAGAGAGATACTGCAATAAAATATGAAATTGACGATCTATTTCGGGGGAATCGTCTGACACGACCCTGCCATAAAGTCTTTCGGTATTTTATGACGGGGTCGTCGGTCGAATCCGAATTTCGACCGAGTGTGACCAAATATGGTAGACACCCGTCTCGAAACGCGCTTCTCATCGTCAAAGTTTCGCAAGGTCAAGTGTAGGCCTAACTGCGTCTTCGGATCGCCATATACCTAAAGTCACTGGATTCTGGAAAAAGCATAGAACCAATTGATCTTCGTGCGGTTGACATTTTGAGTGCATGGAATGAGCAGTTGCTCGTGGACCTCTATGTCTTAGCGAGGCGAACCGAATTTATTAGTGACAGGTTACTCTGTATACAGATAGAAACTGAGGGAAAGGAGGAGACAAGAGCACACTGGGAGGTCAGATGGCACCGAGCTCTGGTTTGGAAGTTGCATAGCCTCCTTTATACTGACAAAGCCTGACAGATCGCCACGAGAAGCGGCCGCCGCAATGGAACAGGTGGAGCGGTGGACAACGGACGAGAGGAGAGCCACGTGACTGGCGCCCCGCTGCGGCGAGACGCCGAAACACACTTCTCCCGAGGGAACAAGTTCGTTTCGGCTCCTCGCCGCTGCAAAAGCAGTGCGCTGACGTCCAAGTGCTCTGAGAAATGGCTCTTTGATGCTCTTTGCTACCAGATCCTCTCGCTTCTGCTCCTCTAGGCGCCGAGGAACGTGGCGACGACGCTTGAGGCATCTATATCGTCGGTGGCCGCAACCTGGGCAGTAGCGAAAGGTGGACGCGTCCACACCGGTACACTGCACACAAACTAAGGGAGCGAAAGAACGACATTCATGCTTTCGCATGCACACCTCATCCTCAGAATTTTTTATCTGAATTATTAATTGTAGTTTTATTACAACCTTTAGGGTTTCACGGAAACATCAACTTGGGTACTCAATATTTTTTTTGTTTTATTTTCTGTGGAGTAGACTAGTTGGATCACCTTGGGCTCTGTAACTAAAACAACAATTAGCAACAGGTCATACTGTTCTTCATCATTAAGAATATTGTCTTTGTGCCTAATACTTACACGAAACAGCTGGTTCGGTGTTTGAGGGAACCAAACTTGTTGTGCAATCGATGCTAACAGAACGTAGCACAGAAGTAGAAAGACAAAGTGTACCATATCTTTTGATGGACATGGCCAATAGGTTAATTCTAGCATATAATACTTGCAGGGGTAGGAACGAAGATGAACTGTAAACTTACGCTTCAGAAGTTCCTTTTGCTGCTCCAAAAGGTGCTCCAAAATGACTGGGACCGATCACTTCACTGCGATCAGCGAAGGCGGCAGACGCTCTTTATCAACATGGTGTAAGGCGTCTTACCGCCAAGGAAAAGGCGTTTCGTAATACCGCCCTATAACCAAAACCGAAAATCTAAAGAAAAAGAGAAAAAAGAAACCTCGGCAACTTGGGGTTTACATTATCTCAACCCTCTGACGTGGCGCCAGTGCGGTGATGCTGCTGTCGGTACTGCGCGTGCGCAAGCGTTTCACTTATCTTAGATCTGGTTTCTTGCGCACACGCAAGGCCCACCCCTGGTGGGGGAAACGCGTGTAAACAGTGTGTTGGTGTATAGACATTATCGACGCTATCGATCTCGCCGCAATTTTAGGGCGCAACTCTTAGGCGCCCGTTTCCGGCTTGAGCGGGCGTCGCCGTCGGCGTAACCGCGCGTTGCATTATGGGACGTTTCTCATAATGACGTCACACGTGACGTCACGGGGGTAACTAGGGTCGCGAGGCAGGAAGGAGGGAGAGGAGGAAAGGAGGAGGAGGAGAGGGACGAGGAGGGGAGGATCGGGAGGAGAAGGAAGGGTGTAGGAGAGGGTACGAAAGAGGAGTTGCATACCATCCTCTCCGTACCCTCGCCTCCTCCTCCTCCAGAGCTAGGCTCTAATTTGGCCTTACAGGGAACTGTAAACGTCTCTCATTTTTTCTTTTTCGTACTTTATTTTCCCTTTTCTACCTCTTGGCGACCCAAAAGTCAACGGTGTGCTTCGAAGACGGCCCGCACTGTGCAGTCCTGGCGCCACCGCTCCAGCAGCACTTCAACTTTGCCGACAGGTTCTTGAAGCCCGTCGTGTAGCTGCCGTACACGAGCGGATTCACGGACGAGTTGGACACGGCGAACATGAAGAGGGACGACTGCAGATAGGCGTTGACGTGCTCGGCACCGTCCGGGTCGAACTGGTACCAGAGCACCATGGTCACGTAAGGGGTCCAACACCAGAAGAAGGCCAGCACGATGATGACGGTGAGCCGGAGGGTGCGGTACCGCGCCCGGTGCATCTGGCGCATGTCGGAACGTCGGAGCCGGAGGCTGCCGCCGGGTGACTTGAATCCGTTGAGCTGATCGGCTGTCGGTCCGAGAAAAAGAGAACACGGTTGGACATTAGGGCTTGGATTGGAGTAAACAGAAAACGATACGATTTTATTGAAAAGTTTCGGGATTGGCCAAACAAGAATTTCCTAAACTCTGATGCACCGATTGGCGAAATAAAAGCTTTTTTTTTTTACATCGGACCTGCAGGGGTCGAGTCTTCTTGGGTCGGGTCGGGTCGGGTCGGGTCGGGTCGGGTCGGGTCGGGTCGGGTCGGGTCGGGTCGGGTCGGGTTGGGTCGGGTCGGGTTGGGTCGGGTCGGGTTGGGTCGGGTCGGGTCGGGTCGGGTTGGGTCGGGTCGGGCCGGGTCGGGTTGGTGTCGAGGTCGGGTTGGATTCGTCTGGTCAGGACGGGTCAGGTCAGATGGGGTTGGGTTGGATAGGGTCGGGTTTGGTTGCTTTGGGTGGCAATTTAGTGCAAACTCGCAAAATTAGGTTCGGGTTGAAATGGATTGGTGGGAGGCCGATGAGGGAAAATATGTGATGTAAATAGCCAGGTTTTACCATTCCAAGTGAAGATGATGCTATTGAAAAAAATTTCGATTATCGTTAGGTAGTTAAGTGTGCAATACTTTTTTAGTCGGGTTCAGTGTAGTTTGGAATGGTTGTATCTAGTGATAGGTTAAACAGAATCGGGATTTGCCTACCTATAATTTAAGTTGGGTCACCCCGGTGTCAATTGGGTTTCATTTACACCGAATCATACTTCATTACGCAACCAAAGAATGAAGTCGTGGCTCTGTCACGGTCGTACAAGTTATATATCGCTGTCTCACAATGTTACACATCACTGAAACCTTGGGTGTTTAGGAACGCTGTTGGGCTGGGTCCGGTAAGAGTAACTGGTGTCGGCCAGGCCTGGACTCTCATTGAATGAACAAAACTGCACCCGTTTCATTTTAAGCCAATAAAGTAGAACAAAAAGTGCGTAGTCACGGCACTCGTCTTTGTTGGTTTGAAACCGCCGACTATATCAATCACGCGCAAAAAAATAACGCAGGATCGATCGTGGCACCATAACTCCGCGTGATTGCTTTAGTCGGTGATGACAAATGTAAAAAGGCAATGAGCGCCATGACGGGACACTTTTGTCGCTGCCCTATTGACTCCACGTGATCGCAGTGTTGGCTGTGGTCGAACTTTGTGTGGAACAGAGAAGGGCATGGGAAGAGTTAATCGAACCGAGGGCGGCAAGGGTATGCTTTACCACAAGGCTCCCTGGACTGGCGGTGAATCTCCCAGAGGATTCGGCTGTAGCAGACCAAGATGGCGGACAGCGGCACGCCGTAGAGGACGAGGAGGCAGAAGAGATTGTAGGCTCGCTCGTGCCATGGCGATGGAAAGGAAGCGAAGGTCACGCACTGGAAGAATCCCGGGAGGGCCGGATGCTCCATCACTCGGAAGATGAAAGCCTGCGGGGAGACGAGAAGGTACACTTCATTAGCAGCCGGCACCGTTTGCTCCGCTTACGGTGACACTAGGGGTTTTGGACACGCATCATAAATCCGTCTCTTGCAAACGGTCCGGGGACTTCGTACTCCGTTTATTGTCACGTTAATTATGGGGTCAGTCCGGAAGATGACGCGGCTTTCATTTCATCGATCGGATTTATATTTCCCGTAAGGAGTTCTCACATTCGTTTGATTCGGTCGGAATCTTATACCGTATTTTTCCGACTATAGCCCGTGGACTATATACACGTTTAAAAGTGGACATTTTAAAGCGAGAGCTCTAAGGAGTTCGTGTCGCAGAAAGGCCGGCGTTGGCGTTGCGAGGGGAAAATCCTGAACATGATTGTAAACCTGAGACTGGGGCAGAAAAGAGAACACAACAGAAGGTAGAAAAAGAGGAGGCAACGTCTCCTCTTTTTCAGACGTTGCCTCCTCTTTTTTCTATCTTCTGTTGTGTTCTCTTTTCTGCCCCAGTCTCAGGTTTACAATCATGTTCAACTTACACCAGCTCGCCTGCGCTCTGACTATTTTTTCGGAAAATCCTGATTGGTCGATAGGGTCAGGACGTCACAGCCACGAGACCTCGGGCGAAACTTTTCAACAACCCACAACGTTCACGGGAAACGTGACGTCATGCTTGGAATGAAAGAGATTAAAACATGACGTGTAATGCGAATTAAAAGTCGCGGCGTGTCTCGAATTATTTAGCTTTATAAAGTAATTCACTTGCCTTAAAAGAAACAAATTGAAGAATTTGAGGCGGGGGTGGGATCCGAACCCACGACCCTTCGATGACGAGCCAGACATGCTACCCACTAGGCAACGCAAACAATGTTTTTTTTTAAAATTTTGATTACATGGAAGTTATCTGACAAAGAGGCAGTTTAGTTTAAACATTCATGCATATGTGTACGTATATACATCCCAATTAGAAGATGCACATAAAAAGCACATTCATTGGGCGTTAATGCAATGGCATATTTCACAGTTGAATATTTGACTTAGTGCACACAAATGCAAGTACAAATAGACATACAACATTCAAATCTAACGGTCTTCAGAAATAATAAGTCTGTTCAAACTTGACTGAAACAATTTACATATAAAATATAAAACTAAAAAAAAATAACACGCACGCACGAAAGACGCAACAAAAAAATCTGGCAATCCTATACATGCGTCTAACAGTGGAAGCCAGTCTGGCTGTACAGCTTGTGCCGCGTAAACGCTGTGTAGTTGAGCCATTTGTTCTACAAAAAATTACGCGGTTGTACGAGGCGCTTCAGCATTTCGATCAATCATTCTGCATTTCCACAAACTGTGGAGGCTTATAAGCACGAATTAGTCGTAAGGAAGAATCTCACCCTTTTGAAAATAGAAGAAAGCGAATATTTTGGTCGGTGATGTCGAAGTGTTTTTTTAGTGTTCACTGAAGGGCATCCGAGAAGAATGCATAGTTGCAGTAAATAAAGCAGCGTTCTATCGTTTCGGGTTTATTGCACAAAATGCAGTTAAGAAACCATCAAACAAATATTCCTATACTCTCTAGTCAAGTTTTAACCGGTAAGGTGGAGGTTTGGAATTTGAAAAGGACGGACTGTTTACGGTGGTGCAATCATCTTCTTTACTCCCTTAAGAACATCATCCTGGGGATTGACGAGGAAGTGACTTCGATAAAATGGGGCAGGAAAAGCTTTCAATTATTGCCATTTAAAGTTCTTTGCGTTTAATGTAAAACAATACTCTACTGCAAGCGTGCCTTTAGGAGGTCAAACGTGTCAGCAACCCCCTTTAAAAAGCCCCGGAAGAAAAAAATTAAAACAGTCTAGTTGGGACACCCGCGTCAAAAAATAAATTTGACGCGAAAACAAAAAGATCAATATTGACGGCGGGAGATTTATTTGAATATATGCGCCCCGAGTCCATGACGTCAGGAATGGTCATTCGGGCTGTGTTCCAAATCTTACCCAAATGAACCGGAGTTACTACGGCGGGTCGCGACACGTGACAACACAGATTGAAGAGCGCTGGACGCGGGTAGGTTTTGGAACGCCAAGGTACAAAACTCTTACACTGGAGTAAGATCGAGTAAATTTTGGAACACGGCCTCGGTCTTTCGACCTCAACGAGATGGTCATGCGCTCTCTCCACTTCAACATGAAGGCGAGGCCGATCCACCTCGCCTCCACGCGCCCGAAATGCCGAGAGAAAACAAGTGGAAAGGAGGTGACCACCAACTAAATTGTGTCTCTCGCCATCTATATTGCTCTATTTTTTTTGCGTTAAATTAATTTTTGGACTTGAGTGTCCCAACCAGACGTTTAAAAAAGATTTTTTTTTTCTTTTCAGGGGCCCTTTAAAAAGCCCCACGGTTTTCTAAGGAAGCAACTCGTCTTTGAAGGGTCCTAAAGCCAGTGCAATGTCTTCACCTATTCAGAATTTAGTCTCTTGCACGGCTGCTACATCAACGCGTTCATAATTTAAGAGCCTTGAAAGTTGTCACTATTTCCGTCTGTACCTTAGATTCCTCACATTTAAGGTGGTAAAATATAAAGGAAGGGCAGGGTATATGAGACTACTTTAAGGTGATTTGAAGTCCGCACTCTGGTTGTCTTCGAGCGCTTTTTGGTTACCTCGTGGCTTATGGTAGGGTTGGTATCTAGAGCCTCCCTGCTTCCGATCTTTCCAGGGACGTGTAAGGGGTCTCTCATCCAGAGGCACAAAGTCCTGATGGCCAAGTCCTTCTGGTAAGATTTGGTAAGATGCAACCTTCGCCCCCGATGACTGTCGTAGTTGATGAGTTGTCATCGCCATCACCAGGTGAGGATTTGTTTCTGGTAGGAGGCATGAGTCGTTCTTGTTAACACCGGGGTCAGTCACTGCAGCAGGGGTGTCACTTTCATCGGTCCTCAAGAACGATGTGGCGAGGTGAGCGTGTACCGAAGCGTCGACAACGTCCGATGCATCTACCAGAAGCTCAGCTTCGGCCTCCCGGGACACAGCTCCTCAAAGCTTACTTGCGTAAGTTGTGACACAGGTGTCATCGATATCTCCGTAGCATCCACACTTAAAGCAGCGTAGTGTTCTGCACTGCCGACGGACATGATCTACCCGGTTGCATCTGAGTCAGAGAGGAGTTATCCTGGGACAACAACAAGAGGGTGACATCCATGCACCTTAAGTAGGTACTGAATCCTCTCCGTCGTCATCCCTTCGTACAAAGTCGGGTTAACTTCCTTGTTTAGTGTGTTCATGTGCTTCGTGCCGGAGCAACGCCATTTCTCTCGGCATATGCTATGCACTGTGCCAAAAGGCGTCGGGGCTTCGACGATGTACTTGTCTTCAAGGTAATTCGGCAGCCATGCAGCTTTATCTTGAGTTCCCATGTACTTGGGTCGAGAACCAGGCACTTCTTGCCTTTCGCAAGCAGCTCGCCACGAAGGGAAAGCTTTTTGTTGGCAATGCCGTTGACGCACGTAACCCTCCACACTTGGCTCATTTAAAATTGCCCAGAGATTTTAATATCTTTTAGGTGGATCACGTCCTTAAGAGCCTTTCGGAAGTCCGCGGCAATGTAAGACCTAGCAGACATGTCGGCATGAAGGAATCCGGAGTTGAGGAAGAGGAGTTGGGAGAGGTAGCAGTGTGACTTTTTGCTCACGGGAGACGGAATGCGAAGAATCGGAGAGAACTGGGCCTAAGGCCGATGGGGTGTTTCTACCAGAGAGCATATTTTTGTAGCCGTTCGAGACGGCATTTCCTTCTTCCTCGAGGCCGTGCAGATACGCTTGCGCAACTTGGGAATGAGCAGGGGTTTATATGTTTAGCTATCGCGTCCCACTCATAATAGCGAAACTTAGGTGTCCTCCTGTAATTGTTTTCCCGGTGCAAACTATAGAATGATTTCTGTTTTTTATATCGTTCTTTGTGACAAGGCGTGATGGATTTGGCGAATGATATAGCATGTTAAGGATGATAGATGTATTATATAAGCTTCTTCATGAGCTAATACAGGAAACACTTGTCAGGGTATGTTGTGCATATTAGGTGCACAGGCCCGGACTATGCACCAACTGTAGAGTATATAAAAAATTGCTTTTTTAGTCAAAAATCTGTTTGTCCAGATTATACACCGGATGCCGACTTCAATCCGAAAAAAATACGATAGTTCGTTTGCTCGCCGGTAATTGATTTAACGCTTCAAGCAGCGCACATACCAGCTAGGGTAACATCAGTCCGAGCTACAATCCGATCGTAGCCTTATTTATATGGGTGAACGATCTATCTCATCAGCAGCGCAAGGCTCAGCAGTTTGGCGGTATCCATGGTTTCCTTTGGACTGATCGTAAGCCGCCGTGCCCTGATGGCATACTAATATACACTTGCCTTGGAAACCACAGATAAGCCTGAACCGAGCCTCTCAACGCCGCGAACACTTGTACATCTAGTTACTGACAAGTTAAGAAACACAGGATGTGGGTTATTATGTTCACACTTGTTTCTTAGTGATTCGTTATTCGGCCTCCTAATCGGCCGTTGCCGCAGCTCACTGGTTGTATAGGAATGATAAGACCCCCCGGGTCTCGCCACCCCCTACGTTTTTTTTTTAAGTTGTTAATGACTGTAGCAAAGGCTGGTTCACGTATTTGCGACTGCTTACGACCGGAAAGGCTTAAAACCGGATTTTAAGCCTACTATGTGCTTACGACCGGTTGCGCTACGGCGGAGTCTACCGTTCACAAGAAGTGGCGAGTGTGAAGCTTTGAACCAGCCTTAAAGGAAAACTAAACTGGTTCTGTATTCGAAAAAAAATATATATATGTATATATATCGTCTTCATTCGGACTGCAGGATCACGAAACAAAAATGATATTTCAAGTTGATGCGCCGAGCAGCCACAACGGCGCTTTCAGGATTGCGTCCAAAACCCATTTTCCTCCTCGGCGCGTTCGCTGGGAGGA